ATGCATGCCTCAATTATATTTTGTTTTATTGTTTTCTTTCTTTTATTAAGTCATATCAGCTCAGAGTGTTTTCCGGGATGCTCCTGTGGCACTGACCGTTATGGGAGGTTAGTGTCAGTTCCTTGATTGTTGTTGTGTTGAGAACAGGGCTAGCACAATGTGAGAGCTATAGTCTGTAACTATGAATATATGAATGATTAGAGGAACTTTTTTTGCCCCTTATGTTAAAGAAAAGAATTTAAAAAATTTTGTTTAAAAAATGGGTTATATATGTGTATGTGATTTAATTAATTAATTAATTTTTTGAATTGCTGTCCCTGATAGTACTGTCATTACCGTCACACCAAACATTTTTCCAGACAGAGAAAGGGAACACCTCTGCATAATTTTGACATCAAGCTGTCAGCTGTGAGAGTAGCTTTGTCGAGTGTCATTGGTCACACGTTATTATTTAAGAGTTGTATTTAAGAATTCATGAACAGTTTTGTATTATTTATAATACATTCTAAGTTATTTGAATCGACAATTGAAAGTATGGAATGTTTTTTCTAGGTCACTCACGTGTATGGAAGCGCCATTATCCGGCATTCCTGAGGACATACTGGCAGATTTGACTAAAATCCGAATAGAGAAATCACAGTTAAGTGAGCTACCAAAGGCAGCGTTTTCCCGTGTTAAGTTACTAAAGCATCTCTGGCTGAACTTCAATGACATCGCCATCATAAATATCAAAAGTCTGGAAGGTTTGGGCAACTTGACGGAGCTCTGGTTGCAGGGTAACAAACTGCGTTCAGTACCATGGACAGCGTTTGAGGAAACGCCCAACCTCAAGATCCTGGACAGCACAACCGCATCGACGCCCTCCCGGAACACGCGCTAAAGTTTCTACCAGGCCTGACCTATTTGGATCTGTCCTCTAATCAACTCTCAGTCATTTCAAAAGACGTCTTACTCAACTGGCCTCTCTATCACACAGAAAACAAGCATGAACAACCTACAGTGTCCAACGTTGTTCTGGCGCTTCACGACAACCCGTGGCTGTGCGACTGTCGCCTGGGAGGCTTCATTGAGTTCATCAAATCGCTGAGTCCACCGTTCATTCTAATGAACTCATATTTGACATGCTCTGGCCCCGATTTCAAGGCAGAATTTTTTTTCCATGAGGTCGATCTAAAGACGTGTGTGAAGCCAGTGGTCAGCGCCCCAGACACTAACATCACCGTGCCGTTAGGCGGGAACATCACGTTAACATGCCTTGCCACGGCCAGACCTGAACCTGCTGTTCGGTGGATATATGGTCTTAAGATACTAAGAGGATTTCGTGGTAAGAGATATTCCATTAAAACATGTTTACATACGTTTATCTTTACTTAAATAGATATCTTTATTTAAAAATTAGGTGCTTAAACCTCAATTAGTGCACACATATATTATTACACTGGCAAATGATAGGCCTATATGCAATACGTATCATACATATCATCATAATAATACTAATTATTAATTAATACATTATTTTGTATAAAATATTAATATATTTTATATATTTATTTAATAAAATAATAGATTTATATAGATTTATTTATTTATAATAATAATAATATTCATAATAATAAATTGTTGTTGTAGTTACGTTGTCCTTAATTTCAAAAATTGTTTACTGTGTGTTCAGAGATTCGGAGTGTGGATGAAGACACTATCAGGTCTCAGCGGATCATTCCTTCACTCCATCCGGCCGATCGAGGGCTCTACATCTGCATTGCCAACAATTTCATCGGCAATTCCTCCATCAGCATTTTACTAGATGTGAAGTCTCCAGAAGGCTCAGTGTCTCATTCCTCAGGCTTCCCTGCTGCCATCGCTGAGGAAAATGTTTACATCGATATCCGTATTGCCAAGCAGACAGTCTATGGCATCACAATTGAGTGGCATGCTGTGACAGACAATCCAGCTGAAGCCTGGTTCACCATCTATTTTGGCCGCTATGACACACTTAAGAAGGAGCAGATATACATTGGGCCAGGTATCAACACATACTCTGTCACAGACCTGCTACCAGCCACTAAATATGAAATCTGTGTTACTCTAAAAAAGCAGGCTCCTCGGAACGGCCAGTGCATTGTATTTGTGACAGGCAGTGATTTCAATGAGATGGAACAGAGAGAGAAGCTCATTCATATTGTCGTCGTTGTACTTGCCATGGTGCTGGCTGTGCCCGCGGGAATGTATGCCTGCACCACCGATGCCAAGTTCAACTGCTTTGAGTGTTGCACGGAGATGTGGAGAAACAGGAGACATTCCGAACGCTCTCACACGTCTGACGAGCGGCAGGGCACGTTTGACAGTCTCCAAGCTGCCAGTGATGAGGGCCTCTGCAAGGAGTCCAGCAAAGAGCGGAAGGCCAGACGAAGGTCTGCTGAGAAGATACAGAAAACAAAGAATGAACGAAGACCAACAGCTGAGCTTTACTGACAACACACACTCAAAGATAGCTATAGACTCATTAATACCCATGAAAGGATTCAGGCAAGCCTCCATTTTAATTACATTGTGACATTTATCCAGCTTGAGTGGCGATCGGAGTAAAGAAGAGAGTCTCAGCTGGTCATGAACTCATGGATCAGCTGCTACTGGACAGGATTTTCCAGGCAAACTGGTAAAAATCAAAGGAAACCCTTGAATAAAAGCAAAGACCATTAATATACTGAATCAAACACTTCTCTAGTACAATTATAATCAGAAGGGAGCAAATGCACTTTGACAACTAGTGACAATTAGTGCTCAAAGTATAGAAAACAATCATAATACAACTACTGAAAATTTATTTTTATCAGTTTATGTGTGGTTGAGGATGATCTTTCTAATCTAAACTATGAATTATTTTAAGGTTGCACTTGTATAATTGTTAAATGCATTGGCATGTTTTATGTAACATTTATTTTAATGCACATGATACAAACACAGGCGTATAAAAGCAGATTAGGATTTTTTGATGCCTGTTTCATATCATGTCAATCCAACAGTGGACCCAATACTTGTATTTTAAAGTAGACACACGCATCAACTGGCAAACACTTTGACAAACAAAGGAAAATGCCACATACAGAAAATGAAAACTGAACAATGACATGAGACTGAAATACACTGACCTTGGAAGGAATTAAAACACCTTAATTTGAACTCTTAAGTTGCTGTTTTGGGGAATAAATGTTATAAATATTGTTTTATAAAATGGTTTTACTCCTAAAATATTATGTGTTGTTTTTAAAAAATGAGTGACAGGTGCTATATTTGTCTGTCAGTAAATGTATAAATTAAAATGGAAATGTAACTTGTGTTTCTGTAGTTGATTTTGAGATATGTATATAAATGTTTATCACACATATTTAGATGTATGATAGATTGTGGACAGTGCAATTCAAGGCTTTAAAATGCTGCTTTAAATTTCATCCTCGAGATTTATTTGTGAAGATGCATGAAATTACAAATAATGCTTTTCCACCATCAGGCTGAATGGTTAGCGCTGCTGAATCATGCTGTTCTGCACCAATCCAGGCTTGTTGACAGTTGCGCTTTGTTTTTTCCATTGTGGTGCTTCTAAACCAGGTGACCAATTGTGAGTCATCAGACTTGCTACGTCACTAAAGCAGAGCACAGTTCTTTACGTTGTACTGTATACTTCGATACCCATGCTCAGATATCTGTGCATGGAACGTTTTGTAAATAGTTCTAATGGATATGCTTTTGGTTCTTTTATCCTTGCCCATCAGTGCACTTTGCAAGTTTGTAATCCTCTCTAAAAAAACCAGTAATCCTACTTGCTTCCTACAGGGTATAATTCCATGTAATTTGTGCTTTTACCCCCAGTGCTGCTTTTACTGTCTGAAAACAGACTTTCCTCATCACTGCAATTTTGTCTCATGTGCAGAGGTGCTTTAAAGAAGAAATAATCATAAACATTTCCAAAGTTTAATAGCACACACACTTAAAAATATGTGTCTTTAAATGTCTAAACACGTTTAGAGATTTGGGAAAGCCAGAGAAAGACAACTCATAATTTGTCTTCCAAATCTTAGTCACCACCAAATCTGAACTTGATGTTAAGCTCAAAAGAACAAGCACGTGCTAAAATCACAGCTGCACATAGTACGTTTCTGAAATTTGAGTTGTCACATTACTCACTGAATTTGTAAAAAAAAAAAAAAAAAAAAGCCTCTAAAAAAAAATCGGGGTTTATGACTTAGCCTATAAATAATGTTGAATGAGTGTTTGTTGCGCATCAAAATAGACCATGCATTTTTATCAATGATCATCATTGTGCAGGTACAGTGCAACACATGGTCAAAGAACAGATGACAGAGAATAACATCACCGCTGCTTTTACTGTCTGAAAACAGACTTTCCTCATCACTGCAATTTTGTCTCATGTGCAGAGGTGCTTTAAAGAAGAAATAATCATAAACATTTCCAAAGTTTAATAGCACACACACTTAAAAATATGTGTCTTTAAATGTCTAAACACGTTTAGAGATTTGGGAAAGCCAGAGAAAGACAACTCATAATTTGTCTTCCAAATCTTAGTCACCACCAAATCTGAACTTGATGTTAAGCTCAAAAGAACAAGCACGTGCTAAAATCACAGCTGCACATGGTACGTTTCTGAAATTTGAGTTGTCACATTACTCACTGAATTTGTAAAAAAAAAAAAAAAAAGTCTCTAAAATAAAATCTGGGTTTTAAAATCTGTATTTTAAATAAAGATAAAAAAAGCTTTAGGTCACCAACTGCAACATCAGCCCATATGACAAAATGTACAGGACCATCTTAAAAATGTGCTATGAACATCTACAAATGAAACATGACACATTTGAATGAAATATCAATTTATTTACAAAAGGTTGAATATAAACAGAGATTACTCCAACAATTATTTGACATTTAAAACTGAACTGCATAAACGCTGACAAGGTACATTAAATTGATGAAACATTGCACAAATTGATAACGTAACTGGTTTTCCTCATTGAAGGATAGGAAGACAATTTACTCAAATAATTATATTGCATCTGTTTGTGATTTTCAGGGGTCAGTAAAAATCATTTATCAACTTAAACCAGCAAATGAATGTTCAGAATTTGGCATTGTAAATGTTCTTTCATGGTCCAAAAGATATTGTATGAGAATCAGAATGCATTTATTCACTGGCCTCAGCGACACTATTGTATTTTTGAATAAACTATTCCCTTTCAAAAAACTATATAGTAGATGATTTCGAAGAATAAAAACGCACATGCATAATTCATTTTCCTTGCCAGTTATCCAGAGTAAAAAAAAAAACACTTTTGTGGTTACGTACATGTATGTATGCATGAACTGTCTGAGAAACAGAGTAAACATTAACCAATTATTTTCCATCCAGAAGAGGGCAGTACACAGAGTCCTAGCATGCCGATTAGCAGGGTGCTAGTCTTGGCTAGTGACACTTTCCCTCATTTCCACTAGGTTCAACCTGCAATCCCAGCTAAACTCTGCACGCATTAGAAAACATACTGTACAGTAAGAAGCTTCCAGAGCTGGCCTGCTGAGATCTTGTCCTTGCTCAAATCTTGCCTGAAATCTCCTTTGTCAGAAGAAACATGACAGAGAATTAGCAGAGGGACACGTCTTCTCTCCACTGAACACTGGTAGTTCTATACATGCATCAGTATCGGTTAGCCATGTTTTTCTGCTCCAGTCTAAGTTTGAGTTCAGAAACCAGTGCTGTGTTGACAGGATTGTCTTTACCCCTATGAGATCTTTTTTTTGTCTTGGAGGCCACTGAGGCAGAAACTGTAAGCACTGTCCACCCCCGTTCACCGTGTCTATAGTGAGTTGGCAACGGTGGGGGCATGACGGGGGCGTTAGGAGGCGACGGAGGGGCTCGATAAGAACACACTTTGACGTTATTGTTACAGTTGATATTGTCTGCTGTGGGGATCTCCAGATCCTCATTTCTTAACTTACCTCCAAAACGTTCCTCTCTGAACGGTTGCTGAAAGTCGTCTTGTCTTCGGGGTTTACGCTTCCTTCGTATGATGCGACGGGAGGGTAGGATCTTGTTGGACTTTACATTTCTCACGTATATAACAGTAGAGATGAAGACTGTTACAAAAACCATGATTATAATGACACCACTGATCAAGCCTAGGAATTGCAAGGGATTTTCCCTACTTTTCATTACAAAGGACGTCAAAGGTCCCTTGAGTTGAGTCTGTAAAAGAGCACAAAGAGAAATCAAGTCCATAGGACTCAAGGATGATGTGCTATAGGCTTCTTGCTGTTTGATCAGAGACACATGGTAATAGAGAGACAGATAAACAACTCAACTCCCAGAGAGGCAATTGCAGGCAACACAGCATACTTGTGTCAAATGTATACTGTAGTATACTGTATGCGTTAGAAAGCACTGCATATTATCTCGAAAGCTGAGAACAGATTGATAACAATTGATTTGGTGGTAATGTTGGAATTAATTTGAAGATTTATAAGTTCTGTTAAAGACTAAATGGATTGGAATGTTACAACAGAGTCTGGTAGGCACAGTAAGACAAGATCAGAAGGGTTGAATGAGGCACCCAGAATTAAGACCGTGCAGTCTCATTTTTATCATCTCAAAAACATCTACTGCATGATGAAGACTGAATGAAGAAACGGGCTATTGTTTGGAGCCACATAAATGCAGAATAAAAGTTATTATTCTGAAAGAATATGTTATAACTGTGCTTGTGTGCTCTTTTACAGACTTTTTGCTTTTAAACAACAATAAAATCATTGAAGGATGGAAAAAAAGAGAGAGAAGAAAATGCTAAGTATTGGTGTCTGTGTCAAAGTGTCTCATGGTCAGAGCCTCCTAATAATCTTTCTGATCTTGCCTCGTGGCTGGACCCGGGACTTTTTCACAGATTTCCAGAAAATTATGGTGGATATGAAAATGGTCAGACAGATGGCGAGGACTACAATGCTCAAACAAATGCTGAAAACAGTCCAGGGCCGAGTTCTCAGACTCAAGAAGTATGAAATCATTCTGGATTTGATCTGTAAAGCACACAATAACACAAAACTTATGCTAGGTTTGCTATGAAGTTTGCTCACAATACAGATAAAAAATACTGAGAGTGCAGATTAAAAATGTCCATGTGCATGTTTCAGATGTATTTTTCTAGCCTGCATTGAAAATATATATTTATATTCTGATAGCTTTTCTGGCTTACATGTGCAACTATGTGACTGTCAAAATGCATAAATGAGAAGGTTTCAAGTTGTTTTGAATGGCAATCATATTTTCATATACAATATATAAATACTTTTATATTTCAAATTTATAGGATTCTCAGAAAAAAAAGCACTGATAATAAAGACCCACTTACCGCTTCTGTGATGTCAATCTTAACCACCGTAGTGGTGCTGAAGGATGGTGAACCTCTGTCTTTGGCTTGAACAACCACAGACCAGGTACAGTCTTTGTGATTGGTGATATTCTGGACTATGTCCATGGACTTGATGTACGGCTTCAGTTTTATTTCTCCCGTGTCTGCATCAATGTTAAATATGTCATCTGGGTCAGACTTCATGATGGAGTATTCAATGATATTATTGGGCTCTTCTGCATCTCCATCAATCGCCTAAAAATCATCAAACACAGTCAGCTGACAACTTGACAACTTCTATTAGAAGAACAAACAGAAAATAAAGCACAATACAACGAATATAGCTAACCTCTATTTTCACTGGTGCACCAATCACCATTGTCTTCTCTAGAGAGTTTTCATGAAATGCTGGTGAATGGTCATTGAGGTCCATAATGGTGACAAAGACTTCTGCAAGGCTGTATTTTCCGTCAGTGTCTTCGGCCTTCACATAGAAGTTATACTTGGATTTGACTTCGGCGTCCAGACTGGCCCAGGGCTGAGTGTAGATGATTCCAGAATCAGGCTGAATGAGAAACCTGCATAAAAATATAAGACAGGAAATGAGTTCTATAGTGAAAACTGGGATTACACAGGGCTTGTTGTTCAGGGAGATGTTAACATGATATAAAGCTTTCAGAACACTATATAAATGAGCCACTGGTAATCTCTCCATTTGAAAACTGTTATGAATACTTACTGTCAACAGGATGAAATATCATATTTTTATATATAGTCAACTGTATATACACTATTGTTCCAAAGTTTGGGGTCGATAAGATTTTGTAAAGTTTTTGAAAGAAATCTCTTTTGCTCACCAAGGCTGCATTTATTTGATCAAAAATTTGAGTAAAAACAGTAATGTTGTGAAAAAATATTACAATTTGAAACAGCTATTTCCTACAAGAATATGTTTTAAAATGTAATTTATTCTTGTGATGTCAAGGCTGAATTTTCCGCATGTATTACTCCAGTGTTCAGCGTCATATGATCCTTCAGAAATCATTCTAATATGCTGATTTGGTGCTTAATAAACATCAATAACATAGTAAATATTTAAAAAGAACAGCATTTATTTGAAATAGAAATCTTTTGTAATCAATGTAAAACACTTCCGATCAATTTAATGCATCCTTGATACATAAAAGCATTAACGTCCCTTCCCCCCCCAATAAATAAATAAATAAATAAATAACCGACCCAACACAGCAATGATGGCAACCAATATTAGCTTGGACTAAAGTAGCTTGGACTTCCTGTTTGTTCAAACAATGAAACATGGAGGAGTTTTGGGAACAATTTTTGGTTACAATTTTAATTATTTTCTATATTTCATTCTGTTTGGTGCAGAAAAGACGTACTGCACCTTTAAGTGAGGCTCTTATATGAGCAGGAGAACAGTCTAATTCCTGCCCAAATCCCATTAGTGGATTAAACAAGATGGAGGGCCAGGTAACTCTGTTTTCAGTGCTCCAGAAATTCAGTTTTGTTGTTCTGCTACTGATTCTGTATAAATAAATGTCATTCGTCGAAGTATGCTGTTCATAAGATATTATGTAAATACTGACGATGACATAAAATATGATGAATGAAACTGGAATGAATAGAAGTCAGCATGCTGACAGTTTAGAGTTGTTGTCAGTTAAATAAAATGAAACACAAGCTGTGTGGTCTGTCTGGCAGAAACAAAACAAAAGATTCCAATGAGAGAGTGAAGACATTATTTAAGAGTGCAAGACATTAAGTTTAAACAGCAGGAGAAAGGAGGCTTACCGCAAAGATTTAATATGACTGTTCTGCCAACAAGCCATCATTTACACATTCATATGGTTTGTATTTATGTGTTTATGCTCTATAAAATATGAAGAATTCTACTACCAGAGATCATGAATCTCTCTCTGGGTTTAGGAAGCTTGAGATGGATTTACTGAAAGTAGGAGCCGAGAACAGTGGGAGGACTGAACCCTCTTCCAAGACGGCAAGAATATTTCAGCTATTTGTGCAGTGACTTAGGAATCTAATAAAAGAAAAGAAAATCGGATCCTCTTGGGTACAGCTAGTCCTTACAGCTAGTCTTACAACAACATGAAAAGTTATTGGAAGTTGAATTCTGTCTAGCTTTAGTGTCTGTAGGCTGTATGTGATGAACTGAGGTGAGCTTACATCCCTCCTGTTCTCCCACTCACTAAATAGTCTGTGTTTTGGCGTTAATGATGTTGCATAAGTGGTGCTTAATAAACATCAATAACATAGTAAATATTTAAAAAGAACAGCATTTATTTGAAATAGAAATCTTTTGTAATCAATGTAAAACACTTCCGATCAATTTAATGCATCCTTGATACATAAAAGCATTAACGTCCCTTCCCCCCCCAATAAATAAATAAATAAATAAATAACCGACCCAACACAGCAATGATGGCAACCAATATTAGCTTGGACTAAAGTAGCTTGGACTTCCTGTTTGTTCAAACAATGAAACATGGAGGAGTTTTGGGAACAATTTTTGGTTACAATTTTAATTATTTTCTATATTTCATTCTGTTTGGTGCAGAAAAGACGTACTGCACCTTTAAGTGAGGCTCTTATATGAGCAGGAGAACAGTCTAATTCCTGCCCAAATCCCATTAGTGGATTAAACAAGATGGAGGGCCAGGTAACTCTGTTTTCAGTGCTCCAGAAATTCAGTTTTGTTGTTCTGCTACTGATTCTGTATAAATAAATGTCATTCGTCGAAGTATGCTGTTCATAAGATATTATGTAAATACTGACGATGACATAAAATATGATGAATGAAACTGGAATGAATAGAAGTCAGCATGCTGACAGTTTAGAGTTGTTGTCAGTTAAATAAAATGAAACACAAGCTGTGTGGTCTGTCTGGCAGAAACAAAACAAAAGATTCCAATGAGAGAGTGAAGACATTATTTAAGAGTGCAAGACATTAAGTTTAAACAGCAGGAGAAAGGAGGCTTACCGCAAAGATTTAATATGACTGTTCTGCCAACAAGCCATCATTTACACATTCATATGGTTTGTATTTATGTGTTTATGCTCTATAAAATATGAAGAATTCTACTACCAGAGATCATGAATCTCTCTCTGGGTTTAGGAAGCTTGAGATGGATTTACTGAAAGTAGGAGCCGAGAACAGTGGGAGGACTGAACCCTCTTCCAAGACGGCAAGAATATTTCAGCTATTTGTGCAGTGACTTAGGAATCTAATAAAAGAAAAGAAAATCGGATCCTCTTGGGTACAGCTAGTCCTTACAGCTAGTCTTACAACAACATGAAAAGTTATTGGAAGTTGAATTCTGTCTAGCTTTAGTGTCTGTAGGCTGTATGTGATGAACTGAGGTGAGCTTACATCCCTCCTGTTCTCCCACTCACTAAATAGTCTGTGTTTTGGCGTTAATGATGTTGCATAAGCAACTGTTTTTTTTTCATGTGGCTTATTCCATTCGACTGGCGTTGCATCAGTAAGATCTCTACAGAACTCTAGCCTTTAAAAAGACCACACACTCTGAAAACAAAAGGGAAATAAACATGAAAGGGGAGCAGGGTACTCACAGGTCCGCTCCTGAGCCATAGATGGAGTATTTGACCACACCCCAAAGACCAGAATCAGGATCTGTGGCCTGCAGAGAGCATAAGGAGCAAACATCATCGACTGGCATCTGTTCCCACACATAACTCTAATGCCAACATCTACGTAACAGAACAGATGACGTTTTGAGCCAAAAGGCAGAACATGAGAGATGTGGGATTTGTTAATCAGCCAATCATTATTTGCTTTGTACTCATGGTTGTAGGCTTGTAGCATGCTCTTATGTCCAAGATCAAAATCCGGCAGGTCATTTAAAGGGGTGGTTGATTGCGATTTCACTTTTTTAATGTTAGTTAGTGTGTAATGTTGCTGTTTGATCATAAACAGTATCTGCAAAGTTACGAAGCTGAAAGTTCAATGCAAACGGAGATATCGTCTTTTAAAATTCGGGCAGTTTAATGCCTACAAAAACGACTGGTA